ATGGAAAATTTTATATTTAGAATGGTTAGCAGCTGGTCTCATATATTTACATGAATTAGGATATTTTCACAAAGATCTTCATAGTGGTAATATATTGCAAATAAGAACAGAATCTCATATTTCAGACTTTGGATTATCTGGACCATCAAATAAACAAAAATCAGATGATAAAATATGTGGTGTGTTACCATATATTGCCCCAGAAGTTTTAAATGGAGAACCATATACATCCTCTTCTGATATTTACAGTTTTGGTGTAATTATGACTGAATTATCATCTGGAAAACCACCTTTTCATAAAAGAAAACATGATACTACTTTAGCATTAGAAATATGTAATGGACTCAGACCAGAATTTGGAAAAGGAACGCCTGAAATTTATAAGAAACTAGCTTATAAATGTATGAATGCTAATTCAAATCAAAGACCAACAGCCAGTGAATTGCATGATATTTTAATTTTTTGGTACAATTCTTCTCGTGGTGATAAAGAAAATCAAGAAGAAGAAAAATTTGGATATAAAGGAAAAGTAATTAAGGCTATGTTTGAAGAAGCTGATAAAGAAATACCAAATATTTCGATTTCATATGAAAAAAACCCTGATGCTATATATACCAGTAGATTATTTACATTTAATAATTTAACAAAACCTATTAATTCATCTCTTATTACATCATACCTTGATGAGGAAAATAATAAAGGTATTATGTATGATATTATGTTTAATTTGACAATTATTTTATTCTATAATGGCTGATTTTATTTCTTTTATAGACTGTCAAGATTCTCAATTATTTGACTTAGAGGTTTCTAGCTCATTACAATTAAAAGGTAGGTAAAAGTGGAGTGGTAATATAATTTGCAATACATTATATAAATTAATTAATTTTATATTAATTTATTAATTTATCCAGATGATGTTAGTAATGAGTAAGTTGAGTGATCATATACTTATTTTATGATAAAACCATCTTTTTTTTATAGAATTATTTGTTTTAGTTTATTTACATAAATATTTAACGATTTGTAAGTATGTAGTGTCGGTCAACATTTCGGAGGTTGGCGATAAATTATGGATGTTACATGCTCTTCAACTTGAGTTTAAACCACTCTTTAGGAGAATTTTTTTAATTTCTAATAATTTAAGCGAATTTACTGTATATTAGGCGGCAATGCAGTACGCCGACGAAAGTATAAATCGTTTTCTATTAGTATATAGTATTTATATAATACTGTATATGATAATAAATTTTATTATTTTTATTCAATATCATGATATAATTCAAATTAAATTATTTTCTTAACAAATACATACTGTAAATAAATATAAATTTATTTATCGATTAATTATAGTCAATGAACTTACAAAAAAATGGTTGTTGGAGAAAAAAATTAATTTTTACAATAATGGCTACAGGTAAAAGATAATTAAACAATTAACGGATATTAATAAACTAATTCCTATCTAAGCCATCTACAATAGCATCAAGGATGCCTTGTCAACCTCGCTAAAAACCTCTCGGTAAAAAGGAAAAACTTCTTTCGAAATTGCTCGTTAAACCGTATAAAGCGCGTATTATCTTTATTTATTTTTTTTAAAAAAAATTAAACCTGTCTGTAAATACTATCATAGACAGAATGATGAAAATGGCAAATAATGATATTAAAGATTACTTGGAAATTGGTATTATATTGTTATTACAATCTTGTTGATCACTCGATCAAAAATTTCAGAATGAGATAAAGGAAAGTGTGGTTTCTGTAGGTATTTAGTGTTGTCGAAGAAAATCCAACTTGTTCGTCTCTCTTTATACGCCCGCGAACGAAGTTTGAAACGTGGCTGAGAAGTAGAACTCGAGTTTTTTGTAAAAGAGACAGAGACAAAAAGGAAGATGCTTTTCTTAGAATAAATAGGCTAAAGTTCGTGAGAAATTCATCTTCGAGTCAGGATCGATACGGGAAGACACTTATGGCGATTTATGTCTAGCTCTTTTTGATTTTTCATATTTGTTCATAAAAATTTTTCTTGTGAAGTTCTAGGACGGCACAGCATAAAGTTCCACGGGAACGAAAGAACGATAAGCCGGATAAGGTGATCGTTGTGGTACACTAAAATTCGGCGTAAATTTAGCCGATATAAATCATTTCTGCGGCGATCTCTAGCAATAATATTCGGGAAATATTTTAGCCGTGCATATTAATCGAAGATTGGCTGGTCCGTAAAAATTAAGTTTTTATTAAATTGGCTTATAGAGATGGAGAGGAGAGAAGCAGCAGATATTTAGAAGAATGTGTAAGTTAGATTTTAGAAGTAGCATTAGATAAAGGTGGCAAGTCGTTTTTAGTAATTTGTAAAAGCGATGGAATGGCGTAAAATATCCATAAGGAGTATTAGATGTATACCAGGGGAATGTGATTTATCGCGTTCTCAGGATGATTTAATAAATAGAAAAAAATTTCTTTAAAAAAAAATGAAACATAAATACCAAAATTAATCATCCGAAGTGTATAGATTGTGTAACCTGGCAACATCTAAGCGAAAAGTATAGCAATATAAAGTTTTAATTGTAAAATCCAAATATGTATTATACATTTACATCAGTATGTCAGTATATGAATATGTCCAAAATAATAATCTTACAAAAGATTTTGTAGACTATGATGATAATTGGTGTACTTATTTGTTAATCATCCTTTTCTTTTATTTCAATAAAATTTATATAATCAATTGTAACTTTATAACTTATAAAATATGTAATATGAAAAAATTATATTAATAAATTTAGAGATAAGAGACAAAACATGTAAATAAAATAAAAATAATGTATATCGTTAATTTCAATCAAAATGGAGTAAAATATAAATATTAATGAATTTGAACATATAACGTGGCATGTACTAATTAATTTTCATTAGTAAATATATACTACACATAAATGTTTGGCAAATAATTATTTAATTTTTTTCGCTAAATGCTACTGTTAAATCTTATTTTCAACGATCTCTCTACCTTTTTTTAAATTTGAATGGTTGTTTAAAGCTGGAGTTTGAAATGAGATATCAAAGTTTTAAAGAGAATGATCATCTTATAGCTGTCGATTTATACCAATTTTCGTTCACTATAAAGTTTATAATTAACTTCACTGTAAAATAATTATTTATTATTGGATGATTTAAACCAAATAATATTCTAATGCGGCATTACGTGGAGTTCCGTTCATGCAATTTTTATAATAAACTCCCAATAATTAGTACTAGTAATACGTGGTAGTAATATGAAGTAACCGACCAAAAATAATAATTATGTAAAATCTGACATAAACTTATATATATAAAACAATAATTTTCTAGAAGTATTACAGTAATGTATAATTCTTTTAAATATGTTAATGAATTCATTAAAGTATTAATTAAATTCCATAAAGATTATCGGAATTTATATAACAGTCAGAACTCGATATAACGAAACCCTTCGCTCAGGTGGTCTTGGATCGTTAAACCGAATATTCGGTAAAACAAATGTTCTTAATGTACTGAAAATACAATTTTTTTAAGAATGAATTTTATCAAAAAAATTGTCATAATAAAAAGAAGTATATTTATGTAAAGATGTTCTTTTACTAGTAATAATTAATTAAATTTTAAAAATTTATTATCGAAATTCATCAAGTGATTTTCTATGTACTTAATGCAGACCAAAAGTCCAAAAATATTTAATGCCGGCCAGAATTAATAACCGTTAATAAATAAATTTAATAAATTTGGCTGGTTAGCGTAAAATAATGTGTAAATCCTTCCTTTTTGAATAATTCCAGGCGGAATTATGTAATTCTGGCTATGAAGTGATGCGTAGAGCTAATAGTAAATGACTTGTTACCTCTTTATATATTGCTCGGGGTTCTGGTAGATTGATTTAAGAAAAAAATTCGTTATGGGCCAAAATTGGGTTATCCCGAATCATTATATCGAGTTCTAACTGTATTTCATATTAATAACTATAATAATACTTCGGGTAATAAGTTTTTAATTTACACTTTTTAATTTTATATTATTCATAATGTTTCATACTGTATGTTAACTATCAATTTTTTGACGCTCAATTTGTATGACATCGGGAATAAATAAAGACCTGATGAGAAAAGCTAAGTGAATAAAATACAAGTAGTAGTTATATAATGACGATAATTGTTCTTGTTGTTCTTGGTTTTTTATTTAGCAAATTATTATTCATTTTTTAAATCAATCAAATTGAAACCTTCAATAAGTCACCCATGTATTAATTATTATTTATTTTGTTTAAAATAACGTGCGATATTAGTAATAAAAATAGTGTTAATGTAACTTTAAATAGGTCAGAAATTCCAAGTTGATTTTATATAAATGTGTCTTAAAAAAAATTATCATTAATTAAAATTGCACTGATAACTATATGATTTCTCATATAAAAGGAAAGTAAAATTTTGTCGTAATATCAAGTTTTTATAATATAATGGTATATTAAATAATTGCATAGATCAAGACTGTTTACAGGTCTTTAAATTATTTCTTTACTTTCCTAATTTCTTAATGGTTGTACTGTACAGTATATGATACTGAATTCAGATCTCTTCGTATGAATTATTATTTCTAGATTTACAGTTTTATCTCTAATTTTTTTTATACGAATCTCATTTTTATTAAATCTTAATAATAGCAATGAAATCTTTCGATTCTTATGGCCTTAAAAAATAAATTTATTCATTTGATTTCTAATAAGCATAAAAGTTACAGCAAAATGTGTTAATTTGACGTACAAATTCTATATACTTTCTGCCTTAAGGAAGTTATTTTGTACACTATGCAGATTGTTATTAAATTAGAAAATATTAATGGCGCAGCAAGAAATCTGATCAACCGGTGTATTACTGTGACACCTAAATTCGAATTCTATTTTTGGAATTTTAATTCCTTTTTTATCCTCATTGACTAGAAAATCCAATATAAAGTAACGCAAATAACGCCACCAATTTTTAAACCACTTCTACTAGAAAATTCATTCCTAATGCATAAACTCAAATCCTTATTTAATAAATTAAATGTCTCTAATAAAGATTCTAATTCAATAAACGCAACAATTGCAAAAACAGATGTAATAACAGAAAATCATCAATCATCAAACAAGCAAGAACTTAATGAGGCTTCTTTAAATAAAAATTGTTCTTATTGCAATAAACCATTTACTGAAGAATTATGGTGTAAAGAATGTGATCATCGTCGCAAGATTGAAGGTTGGACCAGTGGAAATAATGACGTTGATAAATTTATCAAAGATACAATTTACGATGCAAGAAATACTTATAAGGAATCTCTTAAATGGGTACCATTTGGTAGGTTTAAAGACGTAAAGCAAATTGGCGTAGGAGGATTTGCAAAAGTGTATTCTGCAACATGGATTGATCATGGAATCAAAGTTGCTTTGAAAAGATTAAATGGATCAAAGAATATGTCAGCTGTATATTTAAATGAGGTATGATTTGTATTAACTTTACATATTTTTAATTAATAATTAATGATAATTAAAATTTTTCTTTATTGATTTTATTAATGTAAATAATAGCTTAAAATACATTGGAATTTTTATAAAGAAGATAGTATGTTTTCGTTAATATTTTATGGAATGACCAAAGATCCTGAAACTGAAGAATTTATGATGATTTTACAATTTGCAGATGAAGGAAATTTGAGAAGTGTTCTTTCACACAATTTCAAAAACATTTTATGGAAAGATAAGATAATATATTTATATTGGTTAATATATGGTCTTAAAAATTTACATGATTTAGGATATTTTCACAAAGATTTTCATAGTGGAAATATTTTACAAGAAGGTGGATATCAAACTTATATTTCAGACTTTGGATTATCTGGACCATCAAATAAACAAAAATCAGATGATAAAATATGTGGTGTGTTACCATATATTGCCCCAGAAGTTTTAAATGGAGAACCATATACATTATCATCTGATATCTATAGTTTTGGTGTAATTATGACAGAATTATCATCTGGAATACCACCTTTTCATAAAAGAAAACATGATGCTACCTTAGCATTAGAAATATGTAATGGACTCAGACCAAATTTTGGAAAAGGAACTCCTGAAATTTATAAGAAACTAGCTTATAAATGTATGAATGCTAATTCAAATCAAAGACCAACAGCCAGTGAATTGCATGATATTATAAAGTTTTGGTACTGTTCTTCTCGTCATGATAAAGAATATCAAGAAGAAGAAAAATTTGGATATAAAGGAAAAGAAATTGAGGCTATGTTTGAAGAAGCTGATAAAGAAATACCAAATATTTCGACTTCATATGAAAAAAACCCTGATGCTATATATACCAGTAGATTATTTACATTTAATAATTTAACAAAACCTATTAATTCATCTCTTATTACATCATACCTTGATGATGAGGAAAATAATAAAGGTATTATGTATGATATTATGTTTAATTTGACAATTATTTTATTCTATAATGGCTGATTTTATTTCTTTTATAGACTGTCAAGATTCTCAATTATTTGACTTAGAGGTTTCTAGCTCATTACAATTAAAAGGTAGGTAATAACTAATAAGATATAATTTACAATGCACCGTATAAATTAATTAATTTTGAGTTTCTATTCAAAACAACAGATGATGCTAATAATAAAGATGATTCAACTATTGAATGATCATATACTATTTATTTTATGGTAAATTTATCTTTATTTGTTTTTGTTTTATTTTTTCAGAATTATTTGTTAATTTTATATTTAATAAATTGTAGTCATGTTATATCTATTACTGGTCAATATCTCAAGAAGATGCATACGAGCAATAGTATTATGGACTTATGGTATGGCTCTAATTGTCAATAGTTGATTCCTAACTATGGTGATAACCTGTGATTGCAAATGAAAAAAGTTTTTGTTTTTTATTTGTATACCTAAAAGAAAATTTTACACATTTATTTTTTTATTCAACTTTTAGTATAATTATATTAACATTATTATTAACATTATTAAATTAAATTTATAAATTGATAAAATTCACTTGTAACTTTTTGTTTATTAAAAATAAATTATTTTAGTATATTTAAAGTTACGACAAAGTGTTTTTTGTTTTCCACGGATACATCAAAATTTAAAACTTTTATTCAGAAAATAATGTTAACATGAATTCACAAACGGTAAAATCATTTGAAATATTTCAATGTGCGATTTAACGTTTAGAAGTTTTCTTGTTTTTTTTTTTATCACTATAAATAAAAAATTATGTATAAAATTAATTGTTGATCTGCTATTTGGCGATGATGCTACACAAAATTCTATATTCTTCATTCATAGAATTATTTTTTAAGCGGAAAATATTAATGGCGCAGCAAGAGATCTAGTTTAATGTATTACTGTGATACGAAATTTAAATTCTAATTTTGGAATTTTAATTCCCCTTTTTCCTGTTTAAATAAAATTATTTGTTTTAGTTTATTCATGAACTTTATAATATAATTAATAATTTGTAGTTACGAGATATGTAGTGCTTGCTGGTCAACATTTCTGGGGTATGATGATATAAAATCAGTACGGTGTTACAATACTCTGACTTAACTCGAGTTAAAACCTTTAGGCGAATTTATATTATATTATAGTAACAGTCTATCTGGAATACGCTGATGAAAAAAAAATTTAATTAAAATTGGTTTCTTTTAGTATTTTTAAGAATAAATTTTATGCGTTCATCTTTTATTTAACGTTGGTTTCTACAAATTACCACAAAATTATCTTTTTAATTCATTGATTGATTATGGTTAACGAATAAATATATAGGTCTTATGACCAATTTAAAGTGATAAATATTGTATATATTTTGGCTACCAAATGTTTGAAATAGGATGGTAAAGTATAAACTGAATAATGATTCTGAAGAGCATGTGATATATAGTTTGATTGTGATATCCAGATACGACATAACCATGATTGTGATAATTGTGAGAAAAAAATTTGACTGTACTGTACTTATTAATTCGTTCATCTTTTAATGTTAATAATATGTAATCCAATAAGAAATAATCAAACATGTAAAATAATAATGATATTTTTAATCAAAATAATGTGATTAAAAACTAATTAAAGGATATTTGTACAACACTAATTTGTATAAATATATAAAGCATAGTATATTAGTATATAAGGATATCAGTAATGTTAAAAGTTTACAAATACTAACAAATACTAACTCCATGTATAAAGCCTATAAAGCCCTAATATTTATATATATATATACGTAGATTTCTGTCATTTTATTTTCATAGTTTAGCAAAAAATTTTTAAAAAATATAACTAAAAAATTATCATCTAATAAATAAAATAATAATCGAAGGAATGAATGAGTCGCTTAATAAGTTAATTAATTTTCTTGTATTTTTTTTTTTAAAAAAAAAGCGTCAATCGTATCATAATCCTTTTATTCGTTTAGCGAAGGCACATATACTTCAGTAACTTACAATGTAATATTAATATAAAATTTTGTCATAAATATTAATATTTCCTCTTAGTTTTGTTAAATTATGTGACATTATATAAATTCACATCAATATTCTTAACCAAATTACACTTAAAATTATTTTTACTTTAAATGTTAAAATTTGAAATTTATTTAATTTACTTATAATAAATATATGTTTTTTTAATCAAAACACAAGTTATTTACAGTAAATTTAATATTATGGGTCATTAAAAAATGTTCCGATTTATATTTGCTTAAATTTTTAATGGTTTATTTAGTGTCATAATATATACTAATATATACGATATATAAAATTGCCATTTCAATAATATTGAGAGTAAAAAAATTATATTTTAAATTATTGTAAGAATAAGAAAAGTTAACATTAAACAATTTATAATGATAAAAAAAAGGAAAAAAAAAATCCTTGAAAAATAATGCGACAATTAAAATTCCTAATTAATATTTTGACTTTGTTATAAACTTTTCTTTAACTTAAATTTTACTATTATTATTCAAAAATAGAAAAAATACATAAATATAAAATGAATACTAATCAATCGTTAAGTTTATTAAAATTAAGTAATCTATTTTTATAAATAACTTCGGAATGTGATTTATGTGATGAGCTAACCAAACTGGTATGACACTAATTTGAATTTATATTTAAGTTCCGCTGAAATATCTATTTTAAATTTCCACAATTTATATCTATTTTCAATTGTTGTTGGTCGCTAATTGTAATACATTATACAGAGATAATTCAGAAATTATTTCGTAAATAATTATACCAAATCTGTATGACTTTGTTCTTGTAAAAATTTCAAGAGCAATGTAAAGCAAAATATCATATGTATTATTATTTTGTATTTTCTGTCGAATTGTAATCTGCAGGCTTACATATCCCAGGAATAACTTCGGTTTGTAATAATTTTTTAGTAGCAAACGGGCAAGTCTCAATGAAGTCTCGATGAATTAATATGATTAATTAGTTTCTATGAACATTTGTGAATTTAATTCATCGTAATCTGAATCTAAATAATTCCATAAGCTTTCATTCTACGTATATTCAAAACCATCATATGATTCTTTGTCTCTGGATCAGTGTATCTTGAGTTATTCTATAGAATTTCAGTTAATAATTGAATTATTATCTACTTTATTATGTAATGCAATTACATAAAAGTATAAATTTTAACTTATTTAGAAAGTTTATTGTTTCGATCCGTATCCGGATTACAACCAGATAAACTCGGATAATTTTGATCGATTGATTGATCACAGTTTTTACTCGCATAAATATCTGGTCAAAAAAAGAATATCCGGATTAACCCAGAATCTGGATAACGAATAAAAAATCTAAAATTCTAAAATTCGATTACTACATTTATGGCGCAGCAATTTTTGTTTATGGTCACGAAAATTGGATTTTTTTGAATACTATTGTTACGCAGTAAAATGTTGCGCAGCAATCATGTGATATAACTGGACCCGTGATGCCGATCAATGTAGCAAATGTTGAATATGTTTGACATGTTCGATATGTTGCATATGTCTGATATATAGAATATATAGATAGATAAACATAGCTTGAGCTTGAATTTTATTAATTAATGCCGAAGTGACTTTAGAGAAAACAAAGTAATCTAAAAAGCACCGCAACAAGTGCAGAACTAATAGAAAAACAAAGAACAAATAATCTTCCGAAATTACAAATATGTAAGAAAAGCTAAGATTAAAAACCCCACCCTCTCTATATAAATAACTACGGCTACTCCCCCCAAATATATTTCAAAATGAGTAAAGTCGACTATGCTATACGTAACCCATCCAGCGCCGTACCCACTCCTAGAATCGGTAAAGAACCTCCGAGCTACCATTAGCACTATCAGAAACGCATAAAATTCAATTTATAGAATATATAGAATATATGGAACATGTAGCATATATGAGATATATAGAACATGTAGTATATATGGAATATATAGAACATATAGCATATATAGGATATATAGCATATGTAGCATATGTTAAACATTTTTAGTTTGGAAATTTATGTATATATAGACCTGTAATTAGACCTAAATTCAAAATATAGAACGTGTGTGAAGAATTTAATTAATAAAATGTTTACCCTTTAATATACACCTTAATTTTAAGTTTGGTTTTATATGGTTAATCTGCCTTCCCTTATTTGTGTCTGATTGTATGCGCCAGTGTGAAGCGATACTCTATTCACATCTGATTGGATTGATTTTAACATATACGTTGATCCTTAAAATTACCTTCTGCTTTATTAAATATAAACATTTTTTAATGTATAGCTTATTTTTAAGCTTATAAGAACTGACCTCTAACACTATTCATTTTTTGTATTATTCTTATTATGTTTTTTGCTTATTCTTTTCCAATTTTGATTTTTTTTTAATCCTAATAACTGAAATCATTTGCTAGAATGAAACATGTATCATCTCAAAGATTATCATTTAATGTAAAAATTAAAATTTGAATTATTCTAGTTGAAGGAAAATTTTAAAAGTTATTTATAATATGTAATTCAGTATTTATTTATTTAATTATCGATTAATCATAGTTAATGAACTATATATGAAATAAAATCTCATAATAATTCTATCGTGAATCAACTGAATTAATGTGATTATCAGGTGACTATAAATGGGATGGAGAATTTAAAAGTATACAATACTATACAGTTTGATAGGTATAAAATATCATGTTCAAAAAAGTAATGATTCTACCTTAACAAAAAGATTTTTATGGGACCGTGATAATTGATTACTAATCATCTTTTTTCTTTTACATTAATAAAATTTATAAAACAATTGTAACTTTATAACTTATAAAATATATAATATGAAAAAGTTATATTGATAAATTTAGAGATAAGAGATAGAACACGTAAATAAAATAAAAAAATAATGTATATCGTTAATTTTCAATCAAAACATACTAATAAAAATATAAGTATTCTTAATATGAATTGAATATATAACGTGCAATTAATTATTTAATACTACATATAAATAAATGTTTGACAAAAATTAATTTGATTGTTTTTTTGCTAAATAATAGATTATTTCTACTTTGGGAACTTATTTTAAATGATCCCACTACCATTTTGAATGAGAATAGCTATTTGAAGCTTTTAAGGAGTTTGAAATTTGAGATATCAAAAATTTTAAATTAATATTGAATAAATTTAAGACTTTGAAAAAGAGTATTTTATACCAATTTTCGTTCACTATAAAATTTATAATAATTAAAACCTCACTGTAAAATAATTAATCATATTCTAATGTGGCAATACGTGCGGACCGTTCATACAATTTTTATAATAAACTTCCAATAATTGTTAATACATAGTAATATGAGATAACCGACCAAAATAACAAATATGTAAAATCCGCATGAACTTATGAAAATAAAATAATAATTATTTTGGAACTCTTTTCTGGTAGTATTACAGTAATGTATAATTCCTTTAAATATGTTAATGAACTCATTAAATTAATAAAGTATTAACAATTCTATAAAGATTATCGAAATTTTAATCAGAGCTCGGCCTTTCAGTTGATCTTGGATCGTTAAACCGAACATTCGGTAAAACAAATGTTCTTAATGTTTAATATTGAACTTAATACAATTTTTTAAAATGAATTTTGTCAAACAAAATTATCATAATAAAAGAATTATATTTATGTAGAGATGCTTGTAAAAACTTCTCTTAATAATAAAATTTAAAAATTCATAAAATCATAAAATCAATGATCGAAGTTCATCAAGTGATTTGCAGTGTACTTAATGTAGGCCAAAACTAATTTAATGCTGGCCAGAATTGGTAATCGGGATATTAAGCTTTGAAGTTAGCTTATTTTATTATCATAATTATTGTTGTTTTCATCCTTAGTATCAGAATCAATTACAATAGGGTTTTTATTTTTCTTGTATGTTAGACTGCATAATTCGAATAAATAAATATTGCTAGTTTATAAACATGGCTTCGATATATTAATATCGCAAAATTTATAACAAATCATTGTGATAAAATTAATTATAAGTGGATTTGGTTTAAGAAAAAAAATCGTTATGAGCCAAAAATGGTTTTATATCCCAAATCGTTATATCAAGTTCTGGCTGTATATCATATTTAATAATACTTCGGACAATACTAATATATACTACTACTTAATCTTATATTATCCATAATCCATTGTTAATTATCGCTTCAATTTGTATGGTATCGGAATGAAATTCAAATAAATAAATACCCAATGAGAAAAGTTTAGTGAATAAAATTTTACAAGTAGTTATAATGTGACGATAATTGTTCGTTTTATTCAGCAAATTATTATTCATGTTTTAAATCAATAAAATTGAAATCTTTAAAAATTATGTATTAATTACTATTTATTTTGCGGGCGATATTAGTAATAAAAATAGTGTTTAATATAATTTCAAATTGGTAGATTTTCCAAATTGATTTTATGTACAATGTGTCTTAAAAACTATCATTAATTAAAAATTGTACCGATAACATATAGCTGGAAAGTAAAATTTTATCGTCATGTAGATCAAGACTGTCCAGCAGGTCTTTAAATTATTTCTTAATTACTGTACTATATACTAATTAGAAATTCTACCAAATCGATTATCAAAAGTTTGATCAATAATCAGATTTGTTAATTTATAGTATACAGTATAAGTCTCCTCATATTATCAATAAATTGCAAAGAGTAATTAGTATAAAATGCGGATTTCATTTTTATTTAATTAATGCAATAATTTACTATTGATAAAGCTATTCTAACTTCAATAAAACTATTCCTAACTTCTAATGTAACTTTAACTCCCGCCCTTCTCAAGGTTGGACAGTTCCATTACATGAACTTTTGCTTCACGTTCTCTTAATAAAATTTGACGTTCTTTTAAAGCTAGTTCCCTCTCTTGATATTCAAGCTCATTGGAATTTAAGTTTAAATTTTCTTTATTATTATTATCATCACAATTATCATCAGAATCAGAAATTGTGACAATTGTTTTGGTTTTCTTGTTAGAATTTGCACGGCATGAATGAATTATTGTTTTAACAGCCACATTTTTCATAATATATATTTCAGATTCTTCTATATCACATAAATTTGGCTATATAATTATTAATAATTTTTTATTATATTATAGTTGTAATATTTAACTAAAATCATATTAAATAAATTGTTATCCATAATTTGAAATTGAAAAAGAAAGTAAAGGTTCGCAACATACTAATATACACAGTAGTAGGTTTACAAAATCTACAACTCTGTATATCATTTTACATGACTATATGATAATCATTTGGTCCACCATACTACAGTTCACCCTCGCTATAGTGAATTTTTATATAGTGAATAATTTGCTATAGTAAAGAAAAGCTCAGGTACGGATTTTCTATATAAATAATAATTCTTAATACAGTTCACCTTCGCTATAGCGAATCCCTTACTATAGTGAATCTTAACCTTCAGCCCATGAGCTTCACTATAGCGAGGGTGAACTGTATACTACTATTCGTATTACTCCGGAATAAATATGAATTTATTAAACTTTTAATAATTTTATTATTCCGCATTTCCATTCCGTATACTTTCCGTATCATGACATGTGACCACGTGATTGTTTATTGTTATGATCTGCGATACATTTTTTATTTATTTAGATCACCGATCTTTTTTTTATTATTCCTGCTTTCCCCCTTTTTCTTTTCCTCCTTTTCTTTTATATTTCCCCACTTCTTTTTTATCTCACTCCTTTTTTTTTCCACTTCGTGCTTTTGTTTTAAAAAAAATAATTTCTTTTCTTATAGATTCCACCTCATTCCCTCTTTTTTAAAAAATTATTTTTTTTTTATATCACTTCGTTCCCTTTGGTTTTATTTTTAAAAAAAATTTTCTCATTTATTTCCACCTTATTGTTATTGTCTTCTTTTTAGAAGTTTTTAAAATTTTTTTTAATATTTTTAGGGTATTCCTCTTTTTTTTGTAGGGCGGTTTGATTTCTTTTCTTGTAGGATGACATGTAGGACGCTAGGACTTCTTTTTTTACGACACTGAGCTTCTTTTTTATAGGAATGTTGCCTCTTGGAGACCCAGACTTTCTGTATATATTAAATAGAGGGAATTGATATTAATTAGAAATGTAGTAACATTTCTTCTTTTTTTAGGTTGCTGGATTTTGGAGACTTAGATGAGCCTGGGATACTGTAGGTACTATATAGGAAGGAGTTTGAGTAAAAGCAACGTTCTTTACATTTCTTTCTATTTTGTTTTTCAGGTCATCAGACTCCTGAAAAGTCGAACCTGGACTTAGGTCTAATTCTATAAGGGAAGTTGGACTTTTATTTAATTGGGTTTTTATTTGCATCAAAGTAACATATAAACATTTCTTTTTTGTATATTTTGTAAGAACAGGTTTTTCCTTAGGACTACTTCAAATATCTTATAGAAACGTTGGTATGCATGGCATTTTTATTTTAATAAATTCAGTGACCAAATCATTATAAATTTTGTGACTAAGCCATGTAAATTCAGTAACAAAACCAGGGTAAATTCCGTGATAAAATCGTGCAAATGATACGTTTTTGTGATACGGAATTGTGCATTTTCCCGTATCCTCTTATGATACGTTATTTCTAATGAAAAAAAATCTTATAAAAACTTTATAAAATCGTATCCAGTTTTTTTATAGGGTATATATCTTTAATGATATAAATTCGAAAACATTCTTTTAATATGGATCTTATTTTTTTTTTTTTTTAATAGCAACGAAATCTTTTGATTCTTATGGCCTTACGGTATAACTGATAATACAAATTTATTCATTTAAATTTCAAAATGTGCATATTTTTTATACATACAGTGAATTAAACATTATCAATTTCAAAATTGCACGAAAACATTGAATTTTGGTTACATAAATGGAGAAATTATTTTCGTGACTTCGTGCCTATAAATTTTCATATTTTTTTTTTTTTTTTT